ACCCGGGTATTAATCTCTCCAAATGAATTTGAAGAATATGTCCCTTTTGTTACAAACGCGATCCGTTCTACACAGACTTCCGCACGAAATAATTGAGGTTACGTGAACCTCCAGCACTGCACCTCCTCGTGAAGCACATCGATGTGTGTCCTTCTGGAAACACAGACATTTCTTTACATATAAATTCAGATAGATAGCGGTGAGGGTATACATACGTATACATATATTTAATAAAACCGGTAACACGAACGGTGATTCTGGTGAGCATGTGCGTAGCTCACGCGTGCCCCATGGGTTACCCCAAAACAGAGCCCGCACCTCCGCGCTGCGGAAATGAGGCTGCGGGGCTGCAGCGGGCCCAGCCGGGCCTCCCAGCTCTACCGGCCTCTCGCCGGCAGCACAGCCCCGCACTGAGCCGGGCCGCTGCTTTTGGAGAAGAAAGCAAAGGTTTCTCCGCCGAAACGCCGCACCGCGGGGCTCGTTGCTGTGTTTCGAGGTGCGCGGCGTGCACGTGTGCGCGTCCCGCGGTGCGCGGCGCCCGGCCGCGGGGCTGCGAGTGTGCGCGTGTGGGTCTGAGCGTTTTGGAACCGTGTCCAATAAACGGTACCCCGTGGCCCGTGGGGATATCACTCGCAAATTCCTTGCCCTCTGAGCTTCAGCGGTAACACGCACACCGCCTCCTCCGGCATCGGGTCACTCGGAACGCCCTGCCCCGTCCCGGCAGCCTTCTGCTCCCGGGCGCTCTGTGCCCCTCCCTCTGCTGCCGTGTCCCCGCCGCCACACCGCCGGCTCCGCGCCGAACTCGGTCCTCAGGCGCTCCCGCTCTCCAAGCGCGCAGCCGGCACCGGCCCGCGGCGGAGCACTGGAGCCTCTCGCAAAGGAGCAAAAGCTCCGGACGTGGAAAAGCTGACCAAGTCGAGGCCTTAGATTAGCGTAGCCAGAAAGGCAGCGATTGTAACTCTCGACTCTTCGTGCAGCCCTACGAGCATTGCCACTTCTTTACGGCTAAAAGAAGGGAGACAAACAGTGGAGGCCAGCGTGCAGCTTGTGTCCCCATTTGAAGCAGGGTCCGCTTTAAGGAAGCTAACTTTGTCTTTTGAATGCCGGCCTCGCCTTTTTAAAAAAATTCAAGCGATCATTCACAATCCATTAAAGAGACCTGAAAGGCGACTCTTCGGGGGCAAATGGAAGAGCCCGATTATTGTTTTGTATTTAACTTTCTGCTTCCCAACAGCACCAGTACTGCCGGGGGTGCTGCGTGAGCACTGCTCTGGAGTGGATGGACGGCACCCCCGCACCTCACACACCTCACACAGCCCCTCCAGGCACTCCCTGGGCGTTCTCAGCTTCCGCACTGCGGGGCCCAGCCTCTGGCTGCCGGCACGGCTAGCTCAGGAGCGAGCGGTCCGCAGACGAAAGCTCCCGAGCAGTCAGACATTAAGGACGAGAGCAAAATAACGGCCCCCGTCGAGGCTGGAGAGCCGAGATTCGTTTTTCTCCCCGCAAACCTTCGGGAGGACTCCTGCACAGGGCGCATCGCTGGGGAAAAGTTGGCTTCAGCGAGGGAACCAGCGCAGGGAAAGCCGCCCCGCAGCCTCTCCGCCTGCGCGATGCCCCCACTCTGCCGGGCACCTCGGGGCGCTGCTCTCCTCCTCACAGCCGAGCGGGCAGCACCGCCGTGCCATGGGCTGGAGTTCAGAGCATTAATCGCCTCAACGCAGAACACCTATTGCACCGCACCGTGCCCCCAGACAGAAAACAACTTCAGCAGCAGCCAGACAACCGAACACCTCCTCGTGCTGCAGGGTGCTCACACAACCCTCAGCCCAAAAGTTGGCCGAGCGCTCGGTCCCAAGCGCCGAGACACACACAGGCTCAGCTCAGCGCTCAGCTACCACTGCAGACCGCACACAAGTTCAGACCAACTGGCCATACACATCTTTAAAACACCTCTCTTGCACCGCGCTTCCCTCGCAGCACGTCTCTCGGTGGGACAGGGCCGTCCCTGTTCCCTATTCCCACCACTATCTCCATTAGCCGAGCTCGGGACTCTCTATTCGAGTCCCATCAGGGACGGCGAACAGCGAGCCGCTCTCTGGGCGCCTTAAACCCCATCTCCGTGCGGCCGTGCCCCGCGCAGTGCGCTCTCCCGGGCAGCAGAGCTCCGTGCCGGGGTCCCAGCGGGGCCGAGCAGCTCCGGTGCCGCCGGGCCCTGCAAGGTGGCGCTCTCAGCATGGCGCGGCGCTCCGCCTTAGAATAAACGCTGAGGGAAGGGAAAGTTCGCGTCGAGCTGCTAGAGCGCTGCTCCAAAACCCCGCGCCGAGAAGTTTTGTGCTAAATAGGAACGGGTTGAGGGGAGAGGAGAGCTGACAAACCGCTCGGGAAGCTGTGGAAATGTTAGGGACAAAGAAATGCGCTCGCGTTGGTTTGCCCCAGTACAATCCGGAGCTCTGGAAGCGGCTGCACGGAGCCGAGAGCGGAGCTCCGCTGCCCCCCCCACCCCTCCTGCCCCCACCCCCCCCTCCATCCCCCCCGCGGTTCATATCCCCATTGAGTCGCCGTACACATAATATTTCTTTAAAGAAGCTGTTAAAGTGTCATCCTGGTCTACTGGAAGGTCAGTCCGTGCAATTCACTCTATGACATATCACAAGCGCTCGCAGCTTTAGCCAAGCTCATGATTTGTGTTGTCTGTTGATATGTTGTCTGCTTAATGGGGCGATCATGCAAGCTACAACCAGGAACAAAGCCCAACAGTTCCAACAACCGTAGCTAAGTTAGTGGAAGCAGTACAGCTTGCAAATCTATCAAACTAAACTGCAAGAAAGACAATCTGATTTAGAGAAAAGGCGTTCTGCTACAGTCATTAAGCACAAGTAATTTAGATTTTTTATATTGTCTTCTCATTTACAAATTTACTGTATCAACGCCAGCCAATGGAACGAATTTCTTAAGTAAATGAGAAATAAATAAAAGAGATAGAAAGATAATCAAATTACATAAAATAATTCTTACCCTCTAGATTTATTTTTTAGAAAGCTATTAACACTGGCAAATTTATAGTAATAATAATAACATAGCATAAGAAGTAATTGATTTAAATTAACATCACGTCTTAAGGAATATCAGGGGGAAAAAAAAAGAAGAAGAAAAGGGGGGAAAAAAGGAAAAAAGGAGGAAAAAAAAAGAAAAAGAACCAAAAAAGAATCAAAAACCAAAAATACACCCAATAACAACAACAACAACAGCCTTCGTGACACAGTGCTGCATCTCTCGGAGTGAAAGGCCCAAGGAAAGTCATGAATCCACTGCCTGAGAATTAGTTATGGTCATAAATGCTCTAAATTAAAATAGCAACCGAAATCTCCTCTGTTTTAAATCTCCTAATATATGTTATTCGAATTAATTTAATTTAGGGACCCGGTCCATGCAGATTCATGGGCAGTGCTGGAGTGGAGTGAAGCACTTCTCGTGTAACAATTCCCCACATTAATATTTATGTAGCATATGCAATCTATTTCTGTTATTTTTATGGTTGTTATTCTATGTCTGCAAAGGTCATTTAAATTATACTGCGGCCGAAAATTTGTTTCATAAATTTTGATATAAATACTAATTACACACTATAGTAATGCCAGCAGGGATCCTTTCATTTATCACATTTATATCACCTTCGCTGCTTTAGTGATGACATAATGGAAAGCAGTGAAAAACTGGGACAGTTTTATCCTAATATCCTAAAGCTAGTCGGAGTTGCAGCAGGTTGACTGAGCGAATAAGGATTCCTACCACCATTCGTGGGATTTAAGAATCTTTAATAAGGTACGAAATGTTACCAAACAGTTCTGTAAACTAAATTTTACATACCAATTCTTCTAGCCATAAATATTGAATATCTTGTAACATGTATAACCGGACCTTTACATGCGGATAAATATGGAAATTAGGATTTATATACATTATGTTCTTGTATTTGCCAAAAGCAACGGACAGATATAGTTTATCTCTTTTTTTTTTTTTTTTTTTTTTTTTTAATATCACTTTACATAAACAAATGTAACAGTTTGACACGCAGATCCAGGCTTTCACTATACGAATTTCTTGACAGGACGTGTAACAACATTTTACTGCACTACTTAGACTGGACTTTGGGACGAAATGTTGCACTTTATACAAAAAAGCACATTAATACCAATAATATTCTGTTAGATCGACGTTTAGACTGTAATAATACAAAGTAATTCACATTTTGGTACACATTTACTAGAACATTCTTGCCATTCAGTACAAATAGTTGGATTTCTACCTCTCCCCTCGGCCCCCCCACCGCCACCCCCCTCTCCGCTCCCCCCCGCCCGCCCCTCCCCCCACATAGATGCAACCACAACTCCACGGCTCCCCGGCTTCGACTGCGGTATAACTATGTACAAAATGAAACAGTACGTTCATGGTTTTTTGTGTTTTCTCTCTCTCTCTCTCTCTCTCTCTTTTTTTTTTTTTTTTTTTTTTTAACTTTTTTGAAGCTAATAATTCTGTATTTACAAGAGGGAGTGGGGGAAGGCCGCTGCCCGAGCAGACATGCAGTTGGAGAGCTCTAATCAGTGGTTTCCAGTACAGCCCTACACGGTTGGCATTTGCCCTGGTAACCTTGTCTTCTTATGCATCCTACTAAACCCTTCGCCTACCAAGCCTTGGAACAGAGCAGAGCTGAACAGTCCAAAAAGTAAAAAGGAAAAAAAAAAAAAAAAAAAAAAGAGAGAGAAATAAAAGAGGGGGGAAAAAAAAGGAAGAAAAACAAACAAACAAACAAAATGAGTCTTCATTTTACTCAGTCCTGGGTCTACTGGCAGCATTTTGTTTTTGTTTGCTCTTTTTTTTTTTATTCTGATTTCAGAGTGTTCATTATTTTTGGAGTCTTTTAAATAGGGTCTGGATTCGCTCGCTTGGGGCTTTTTTGTTTTGTTTCGGTTTGTGTTTTTTCGCTGTTTTGTTTTAGCGTTTTAAACGTACCATTCGTTAAAATTTGATGTAAGCGTGCTGTGGCTGGACGTGTGGTGGACTGCGGAGGAGGAAGGGGATAAGGAGCTGGCGGTCTGGTTTTCTGTGGATGGAGACACGATGGTTGGAGGGGTGGAGGACTCGTAGCCTGAGCTGGCGGCGGGAGAAGGCTGGGACCCCTGCGAGGACGATTCATGGACCTGCAAGAGAGAACCCGGGCAGAAATAGAGCGCGGCGGCGGCCCCAGGCCCCGGTGGCGGCGGCGTTCCGCGGGGACGCGCCCAACATCGACAACCGGAGCCGAGCTGCGGCCCGGTGCCCCCCTCGGGGCGTTCCTCGGGTCCAGGCCCTGCGCGCCGGGTCTCCCCCCTTCCCTCCCCGGCCGCTCAAACGGCGCTGCCCGGCGCGGCGGGGCAGGGGCGGCCCCGAGCGGGCTCCGGGCCGGGGCTCGGCTCTCCTCGGCGGCCCCGCGCCTCTCTCCTCGCTCCGCCCGCGGGCACCGCTCCCTACGGCCCGGCGGGTGCTGCCCGCGGCCGTCCCCGCAGCCCCTTCCCCCGGCCAGGCCCGAGGCGGAGCCGCAGCGCCCCGCACAGCGGGCGCCCTCCATTTACCTTCATGTGCTTTCTGAGGGAGCTGGGGTGCGTGTAGGACTTGTCACACATTTTGCAGAGATAGGGCTTGTCGGAAGTGTGCACATGCATGTGCTTTTTGCGGTCGCTGCTGTTTGCAAAGCGCCTGTCACAGCCCTCGAATTCACACTTAAATGGTTTTTCACCTATTGCAGAAGGAAGGAGGGGGAAAAAACGGATCGGATTAGGCAGGGCCGCCGGATCTCTGCTCGCCCCCACCGCAGCGCCGGACGGGAGCACGGGGCTCCACCGCAAACACTCGCAACTTTCTAAGTTCAGCGGGGCTCAAAGCCCCAGACCTTCCTGCTCTCTTCTGTCCTATCCGCACCCCCGACCCGCTCTCGGCGCCCATTTCCAAATGGAGGGAGGAGTAGAGCACCCAAGAACTTTTCTTTTTTCCCCTCTCTCTGTTCGCAGGGGCGAATTCCAGCTGCAGGCCAGCCCTAGGCGCTGCTCCCGCTCCCTTTTCGCGGCGCTCGGAAGCGAGAGGCAGAGCCGGCGTGCCGCTATTTCCACCCGATCTCAGAGTCTGCTTGCCGTTTTCACGCCTCGCTGTCGTGATATTTTACCCTCGGCCCCCTCCCCCGTATTTTTCCGCAGTACCGAGCTCGGCCCGGCCGGACCAAGACACGCACGGCGGCCGCAACCCCACGAACCCTCCTCGGAGCAGCTCGGCGCGGGGCGGTGCGGGGGGGAGCGCTCCCGGCCCAGAGCAGCGCGGCCGCCTCCCGCGGCGGGGAAAAGTTCTCAGGCCCCCGGCGCCCGCCCTCCTCCGCACAACAATAACACGCGAAAGCGCTCGGCTCGCTTGATTTCCAATCGCTCCACGGAATTAAATATTTACCAGCCCCTCAATCGCACAGGGGAGACGGATGAGCTGCCTGCAATATTTAGCACAGTTTCTCATCGCGCCACACTCAAAACTGCCGAAGAACTATTAATTAAAACCTATAAATTTACCAAGACCAGGTCGCTGCGGTTGTTTTCCCCCCCCTGCCTTCACCATTCCGACAGCAAACCGCGCCTCTCTCCCCCTCCGCCTCCCGGGCACAGCTCGCTTTTTGTCGCGGCCGCCGCCGTGCCCGAGCTCGAGCCAGCACCGCCCTGCAGCTCCGCGGCCCCGGGAGCAGCGAACGGCCCCGAAGCGGCCCGGCCCGACCCGGCCTCGCGAGTCCACGCGCGGACAAAAAGGCTACAGAGAAGGTTACCGTACCTGTGTGAGTTCTTTTGTGTATTTTGAGATTCTCTGATCTGGCAAACACTTTGCCACAGCCTGGGAAAGGGCAGGGGAAAGGTTTTTCACCTGTGTGGACTCGGATGTGATTTACGAGTTTGTATTTGGCCTTGAAAGGTTTCCCTTCTCGCGGGCACTCTTCCCAGAAACATATGTGATTGGACTGCTCGGGTCCTCCAACGTGCTCCACGGTGACATGAGTCACCAGCTCGTGCATCGTGCTGAAAGTTTTGTTGCAGGACTTTTTGGGGTTCGCCAACTGCTCGGGCTCAATCCACTTACAGATGAGTTCCTGCTTGATGGGCTGCCGCATGTAGCGGAAGAAGGCCCCCGCCCCGTGGTGCGCTGCCATGTTCATGTTCATGTGGCCGTAGCCGTGCAGCTGGCTCGAGGCGTAGTGCTCGGAGCGGGGGCTGGTGACCTGGCCGTACTGCTCGGCTCGGCCGTACATGTCTCCGGAGAAGCCCAGGCGCATCTGCCCGTTCACCACGTTGGGCGAAGCGTGGCCAGCCGCTTGCTCGTGCAGCCCGGGGAAAAGTATATGTCCCGCGGCATCGCCGTGTCCGTGCGGGCCGCCGAAGCCGCCGGCGGCGGAGGCGAAGAGGCTGTGCTGGGCGCTGGCGGCCGCGGCCTCCCCGAAGCCGCGGTTGCGGAACAGAAAGTCCCGGGTGGAGTTGAACGCGGCGCTGGAGTAGGAGCCGACGTGGGGCGGGTGGTGGTGGTGCCCCAGCGCCGCCGCGTAGCCCGGAGCCTGCGAGGTGAAGGCGGTCTGCCCGGCCGAGGCCAGCTCGTGGCCGCCGGGGTTGAGTTTGAAGGCGCCCATGCCGTCGGCGAAGGGGTTGATTCCCAGCCCCACTTCTCTGTCCGTGACATCGGCCGCGGAGTGGTGGCGAGACGATCCGAACGTAGTGACTCCTATGGCGGGATACTGCGGTCCAGCATCCAGAAGCATCTTCCCAGCGTCGATGCAGCAACCCCAAAAAAAGCACGCGCGCACGCACACAACGCGGAGAGAAGCAGCAGCAGCAGCGGCAGCGGCGAAAACACCCTCTCTGGAAAGTCGGCGACGATCACCACCAAAGCAACCACATCAAAAACACCCCCTTCGGCATCAGCGCGGGGGGGAGAAAAAAAAAGGGGGGAGGAAAAAAAACCAAAAAACAAAAACAACAAAAAAAAAACCAACAGAGGCTGGTGGGAAAGGGGGAAAGAGATCTTCGCAGACGCAAATAATAATAATAAAAAAAGGTGCCCCAAAAAAATATTCACTGTCTCTCTGCTTTGACTTTTCTGGGAGGCTGAAGTGGGGAGGGGGGTTGGGGTGGGCGCAAAAAGAAACTGCCCGCAAATAACAATAACGGCGAGAGCTCGGCGCGGGCAGCAGAAAAACAAAACAAAAAAGAAACTTCCTTCAGTGATTTTTTTGGCTATAGGAATGTCGCGAAGTGGCCGAGAGATTGTTTCTCTCTCCTCTTCGAGCTTCCCCACACTCTCCCCTATTTTTTTTTTTTTTTGGCCTTTTTTTTTTTTTTTTTTCGCTTTGCAAAAAAAGGCGCAAATCATGCACAATATTGTCTTTTGCGGTTTATCTTCCTGGGGAGAAACTTTCACCTCCTCAGCCGGGCGGTGAACGCGAGACTGATAGCGGCAATCATTCCTGCAGATAAATGAATTGAAAGGACGACACTGGCCCCCCCCTTGATGAATGGGAGCCGGGGGCGGGGCGACGTGCGGGCGGACGTGGGCGCTGATTGGCTGCCGGCGGCTCCCCCTTCCCCGCGTAACTCCCCCCGGCCCCGCCAACGAGGGGCGCGCACGGCCGCCGCCCGCCGCTGATTGGCCGCTCCGCCTCATCAATCGCAGGTATTGTGAGCGCCCTGACAGCCCTTTGGACAAACAGGGCTTCCAGGAGTAGCAACTTTTTTTTTTTTTTTTTTAAATAATAAACCTTTTTTTTTTTTTTTTTTTTTTTTTTTCCACGAAAATATTTCCAACGCATCTTTTTGTGTCTATGTGTGCTAAGGAAACAACAACAACAACAAAAAATCTTTGATTATTCTTTGGGTTCCTTTCTCCCCCTGTCTCCCTCTCTCTCTGCCCCTCTCGCTCCAGCACTCCTATAATGACGGTAATGATGGTTTCGTGGTGATCCCGATTTTTTAAGATCACTGAGCAACTTTTTAGGCTCTGAAAAGAGGAGCCCCGTAGTGACTCGCTGCTTTTGAAGTTGCTGTTTGCCGCCTGGTTAATACCGGAACTCTCCGAGAGTAGGTGCTGGGTGCGCTGGGCTTTATTTGTAGCCAACAGGCGTGATTCTGGGGGGAGCTGCCTCTGCCCTCCACCACTTTTCTGAAATAAATCTTGTTTTCTGCCCCCATCAACACGCAGGTGGGTGAGAACTCTTCACTTTCTACTTCTGCTGTTGCTCTTTCTCCTCTTTTCTGTTTTTTTCATTTCTCCTTTCTCTCTCCCCCACCCCCTTTCTCTCGCTCTTTTTACGGGGTCTCTTTCATTCAGGTAAAAACTGTGGATTTCCCAAGCAGACATCGTTCCTCGCTCTGCTGCATGAAACTCCCGCGTCCTTTTTTTTTTTTTTTTTTTTTTTTTTTTCCCTTCCCATCTATCTTTATTTTTATTTCATTTCAAACCATCGATAGGAGCAATGTAAATTTTCTGACATCCAAACCTTTTCTAGTTCACAAATCAGTCACCCTTGTCACAGTTATTGAAATTCCTCAACTTGCCACACCAGGACGGTGGAAAAAGCAGGCGGTGCCTTTGTTGCTGACCAGGCTTTTGATCGCCAGGGAAAATTTACTTACCTTCAGATGAGTGAGCAGAAAAAGAAATAACACTCCCTTTGATTTAGTTAGAAAAATGCAGACATTTGGATTCAGTGCAAACATACAACACTTGGTTGTTTTCTAGATGCAACCCTCGATTAACCTGTCTTTCCCCAGCTCAAAGTCTATTGAAAATCTGCGGATAGTTCTTTTTTGTTCTCGCTACAAAGAGCCATTGACTATATATTAAAATGATTGTCGAGAGGTAGAAGTGTGATATTTAAAGCAGAAAGCCTTTGTGGCTTAATCAATTAAGCCGAGCAACATTTGTACAATATTTTAAACGATGCTTCGGCTCTGAAAAAAAAACAGACCTCGCGAAACTTTACAATAGATGCATACGTGTGTGTATATACACTTATGTGCGTGCACATGTGTGTGTACGCGCACAGAAACCCGGCAAATTGTTTATTTACTCGGTCGCCTGCATATTCATTAGGTCTAATTATTTTCTAGTAACGAAAACACAAAAAGCTCGCTAAGACTCGGAATCCTTCAATTTCGCCTTTGTTCAGCCCTTCACTTGGCTTATTCGCAACTAAATCTGAGCCCCTCCAATTCGTGGTGGCAAACAAAGAAACTTTCAACTCCCGGTGCTAATGAAGGGCGCGGGCAGCCACCGCCGCGCAGGTACCGGAGCGGGCGGCAGCGGCACCGCCAGCAGCGCTGGGAAGTGCACGGTGCCAGGAGGGGTGGCAATGGATGCAGACCAAGGAGGAAAGCAACCAACGACCGAGCAACAAATAAACTTTGATATGCCTTCAAGGAGCCCTCCGCTGCAGTTTATCTGCAGATGCACTTTGCCTGTGCTCAGTGCGTGAGGGTCCCTTCCAGAGCAGATGTATTATGTAATTTCCCTCTTGGAGCTTGGGAGGATTTGCAGCTTTTCGGAATAATGAGGGGCTGAATCTACACGTACGCGTTCATTCTGCAAAATCCGCTCGGAGGAATTGCAGTAGCTTAGAGCAACAGGTACACCCGCCCTGCGTGCCTCTGCGGGACGTGATCCTGTGCGGACGTCCCATTAATCTCTGCGTTTGGTTCTAAAATTAACCGGAGCGATGGGACAGAGTTGTCAGCGTAATGGGGGAATCTTCAGGGTGATGGCATCAGGAGAGCCTGAAAGTTGGGCAACGTGGGGCGAGGATGCCTCCAAGTGCATGGGGAGCAGTGACAGTGCCAGGTCCGCACAAAGCTCGCAGGAAGGCGGACGGGAGTGTATTTTTAGGAAGCATATCTAAATATACGGTGTAAGAGTGAATGTAAGGAAAAAAAAATGTTGTGGGTTGTAGAAGTTATCAAGTGGGATTTGCGGCACGCTCTCTGCAGGAAACGAAAGCTGCTCCAGTTCAAAGCCACATGCACCAACGTGACATATAAGCCATTAAAATATCATCCTGACGGCTCATTTCTGCTTCATCATACATTCCCTAACTGCTTCCAGAAAGCAAGAAAAGAAGAAATGAAGGATGACCGCCTCGATGGAAGCGCCAAAGAGGTGGTGGGTTCTTAC